AAAACATCTATATCTAAAATCAATTGATCATCACCTAAGAAAACATCTATATCTAAAATCAATATTTATAAAAAATATATTAAAATATAATATATTTATAACTTTTATATTTTAATATAAAATATAATTTATATTAAAATATAAAAGTTACTTATCAGTAAAAAATAAAAATTATTCTATACTTCGAACAAGATTGATCGATTTCGAATCTCTCATGGATTATTGAAATGGCTATATTTCCACTCTGGGAACATCCTGGACGTAGCCTGGGAATATCCTGTCAGAACTCCTGCATTCCGGATCGGCGAGTCGGAGTTATGAAATACCGAAGTGGAAACGCTCGAGCTGCCACGAGAGGTGGTTTTGCATTTCAGTTTCTCGATCAAATTCCATCTATGCTTGGTCTCTATCTACTGCATAGTATCCACACTTTCCTTTCTCTCTTCTTAGCTGCTTTTGTTTCATGCAGACCAATTGCTTTGAAAAAATTTTCCGGTTACTATAAAACTTTTCTCTTATTACATATTATTTCTTAATTACAATAATAGAATTTCTGGAAAGAAACATAATAAAAGTTGGATAAGTACGCACGATTTACATAGAACGATTTACGTAAGTGACTGGTACATTATTAGATTGAAGGTAGGCTTGCTCAAGTCTCGAAAACTTCGGGAAGAATCGGAAAAATTCGAGTGGTATCGAGTTAGATTTTGATATTCTTGTATTGTTCGAAAACTTGCTTTTATTACAATATTTCTATTTTATCTTCTCTTATAGTATAAATCGTACAAGTAAATAGATCATAAAATCAAATATAAAATAAACATTTATCAGATATTAAAACTAGTTTTGACATAGATATACATAAACAGATTTAAAATCTGTTTATATTATTCGATAGTCAACACGCATAGTCAACACAATTTATATATGTTTTTGCGAGCATCAATAGAAAACTGTTTACATACTGTAACATAAACACTTATAATTGATAATAAAAACATAAATGAATTGTAATTAATATAAAAATATATATGAATCAAACTATATTGAACAATATAAATTTTATAATCAGATAAAACTTGAAACTTTAGAAAAAAATACAATAAATGAATCAATATTATTATATCAATATAATATATATCAGTCAATATTATTTAATTAATTTACTCTTACTATACATTGTACTATAATAATATAATAATCTTGATTTTCAAATCAATCACATATCATTTTCGAATATTATTCGCTTATATTTATACTCTCAGAATTTCAAATTGAATAATAGAACAATACAAAAATATCGAAATCTTATCAAATTCCATTTGTATTTTTCCAAATTTTCTCAAGTAACTCAATAACTACATTATATGCACACATCTCTACTAAAATAATATATCTTGATAAAAAATAAAATAATATATCACAAAACATATAATTTGTTTATATTTTTGATTTTTTTTTTCTACTCATCTTTTTTTAATATTCGATAAAATACAAAGGAAATTCCAAGCTTTAATCGAAGTATATTGAAATTAAAAATCACTATTACGTAAATCTAATTTTCAAACATCAATTTTTGTTATATATTAGTTATATCAAAATTAAAAATAATTGAGATTCATTTTAAAAACCAGTGTTTTTCAGAACGATATATCAATTATTTGGAATTTCGTTCAGAAATCATGTAATTTGATTCAAATCATGTTTCGTAATTATTAGATATGTGGATCGCTAGCGGTTCCTTTTTACTTTTCTGTTGGGAAGATTATGAGTTTTCTTTGATAAATATATCTTTCAATTTCGTGGGTTCTATATTAGAATTAATTATATGATATTGGTATACTACATTTTATGGTATAATTCAGTTCTTCGATTATTGTAAGTTTTAAAAACACTGATTGTATTTAATTAATAATTAAACAATAATATTTAGTATTTCAGTATATTTGTATTAAATTTGTATTAAATATTATAAATAATATTTTTATATTCGTCTCATATATTTGCATTATGTTACAATATATTTTACAATATATTTTACAATATATTGAAAAAATTTAAAAAAAATTAAAATTTAAAAATTGTTTTAAGAAATTCATTATATTTATTATGAATAAGTCTTAATAAAGTCTTCGGAATTATTAAATTAACATGTTATATTTATTTGATTGTTGACAGCACCAAGATCATCCAGTGCAGGTACTAACAATCTGCCACCCCTAACGTTCCATCAAGTTCATGGTGAGAACATCAGACTTTGCAATGGCGGGACTATTGCCAGAAGATATGAAAGTTTTTGTAGAGGTATCACATTCAGCGCACGTGCTGTGCGGGTTGGAGAAAAGGTAAATTTCATGAAAAATTATTTTTATTATTAATTTATTATTAATTTGTTATAACACACTTTTAAACATATCTAATGAAAAATCTTAATTTATAGAAACTATACAGTTTTTTAAAGTACTTTGATCCATTAACATGTGCCAAATATTTTCTTCTTTATTATAAATAAATATAATTTAATATTATATTTGTTAAAATTATAATAATTTTTGTTCAATATTTTGTAACAAAATACTCATTAATAGAAAAATCTCATAAAGTTTCTTCTTATCTATTTTAAAATCATATTAAATATGAAAAAATTTTAGATTATTAAATATAAAAAATTACTAAATAATTATAATTCATAATTTATAATATTTATAACAAAATCTTTTAAAATCTTTAAACAGAGTTAAAAACTACTATTAATAAATAAATCAAATCTTTTTCTTTATTGTAAAATCATATTAAAAATTATAATTTTTCACAAGTCCTAATCATTAAAAATCTTATAAAAAAAATAAATTATTCAAGATTACTAAATAATTTAATAATAATAAACAATAATAAACAAAACAAAATTATTATTATTTAAATTGGAATTCTTTTTGGATTTCTAAATCTACCTATGAAAATATTAAAAAAAAATTTATATAATTATATAAACATATACATATTATTTGATTTTGTTTTCGAGTTATAAATTCCTTAATATACTATACTTATTTATCTTTAAAAATTTGGTATCTATTTATCTTCAAAATGATGCATGCAAACATAAGTTTGAAAATGTTTTACGATTGATTTTTTTACTTTCTCCATTTTTCCAGATATTATTTGTATTTTCTGAAAATTTTCCAATATTTTCACGGAATATTTCGACACTATTAATGGACATTCTTTACATAGAATTTAGAATATCTGACTTCGTTTTATAAATAATAGAATTAATTCAACTACTTTTAACAGAATTATTCTAGCATAAAATTCACTATAATTCAAAAACAAGATCAAATAAAACATGTTTGTATAAATTTTATTTATTATTTCCATATGTATTATTTATCATTTATCCACAATCTATTTATTATATATTAATCATTAAGAATCTTCTTAAAAAATATTCAGAGACATTCAGATTACCAAACAATTTAAACAAAATTGTTTATTATTATCTATTATAATCACACAATTAAAAATCTGTCAATTAAATCCGCAATTACGCCAAGAACAAGCATTCCCATCGATGTTAAAACCAGCACGCATAACACAAGCAGTTACCGAGGTCGATGCAATTAATCGATTCAAGCTATAAATATTTCCCAGTAGTGGAAAACACCATTTTTCCCGCGTTTCCTCGTTCCCTGCGCATAAATCGTATACACCAGAGTGGTGGTTAATTATGAGAATCAGGTGACACTTGTTCCGCTCTATGATTTTCATTTACATTTTCTATATTCAAACCAGTCAAATAATTGATCTTGAAGAAATAACCGAATTATTTATTTATTTGAATCGATGATTTAACTTTGCATTAAATTTTATTAGATTTCTTCTCAAATAAGGAATTGAATATATGTTTAGTTAGATAGTTTAGTTTAATCTGATTGGAATGAAAGTATATTTATATTTATTATTTTTTTTATGTAAGTTGTAAAAAAATAAAGAAGAAATATTAATTAAAATGATTGTGAATTTTAATAATTAATTATATTATATTTTATTTATTTATTATTGATTATTCTTCATAACATAGATAAATAAAATAATTTTTTATAATTTAATACTTTAATATTTTTCACTTTTCATATTATATTACAATGTCATTTTTATTTTATTACAATAGTTTCTGATTAATTATTGTTTCCTACAACATATTATCTACAATGGAAATGGAAAAATTAGATATTTTCGAAATGCGAAATATTTTCAACAAATATCTTTTATATTTTGAAAATAGCTAGATTTTTTATTTATCATATTACAATAATTTATATATAGGATTAAGATTAAAATATTAGGACATTAAAGATTATTCTAAATATAAAAAAAGAAACCCAAAAGTTAATATATATTAAAATATCGAAACTTACTTATTATCCATTATATATATTTATTATCGAAACAATTAAGTTGTGTAAGCAGTTGAGATTTTTATGAGATGAAGCAAAATGAGAGCGTGACGAAGATAGAATTATTTTATTCTGTATACATCTCATTTCTTTTAACACAGATTATTATTATAATATAAATTATTATTATAATTTAATAAATAAATCTTAATCAAGAATTTTATATATACCAATTTTTGCATTTATTTTGACTCTTAAAAGATAATTCACGAATATATTAATATTTTATAATTGAAAATTTAAGTTTTATCTTAAAAATATAATTTATTTCATGTTTCTTTTCTAATTTTCAAAAAATTCTTCGATTGTTCAATAATTAGTTCACTCAGTTGATTTATATTCGTAGATTCGGAATGCAAGCGCGTGACATGATTGTTCTTCTCTCTTTTTATCCTTCACTCGTCTTCAAAGTGGAAGAAAGCGTAGGCGATCATTTGAAGGCTCTTCGTTGATTTCACTAAATACCTTGGGGATCTAGAATTTTCACTTGTTGTACGAAATCTAAACGATTTATTGTTTGAATTTATTTTATTTTATGATTTTATTATATTAAAACTTTATTTTTTATTGTTATTTATCTACTTGTATCAAATTGTAAAATATTAAATTGTTATTATGTTTTGCATAATTAGGATTTTAATGGAATTTTACTAAAAATATATTTACTTTGTTATTATTTAATAGAATGATTTTTTTTGCTTTAAAAATTTACAAATTATTAAAACAAAAGAAATTGAACTTTAGAAATATTGATGATTAAACTAGTACAGTAAACATCCATTTGCTAAATATTGAATATGATATTGGAATATTCTTCAAAGTTTTATGCGTATATATAGTTTGCGTATAGTTTTATGTGTATATTTATACCATTGTTTGACAAATAATTAAATTCACACATAAATCTACATGTCTTTGATATATAATCAGTATTGCGAATATCACTCTGTAGAATTGACTTTATATAATAAATTATTAAATCACAAAAATTAATTCAGAGTTTATTATTGATAAAATTATTTTTTGTAATATTATATATATATCATAGTAAATATTAATATGTTTATGTTTACCATGTAGTATATATTATACATATATAATATCAGTATTGATTAGATTTGAATTGCAAAAATTCAATTTTAATTAAATTTTGATTTTATTTTGGATAAAAGAAAGGAATTCTAAAAAAAATATTTAAATTATTTAAAATAAAATATTTAAATTATTCTAATATCCTTTTAATTTTTTTGTTTTCTTTTCTGTCACATTTTTTTTTTAAATTCAATTCAAAAGAATAAATAATGATTAATGAAATTTAAAAGATATATTATAATATCAGATAAATTTATTAATATCCTTCGATTAGAATTTGAAAGTTGATAGAAGTGATAGAATGCGAATTACTATAGTATTTGCGTAGGTGTTCTGGTCTTAGAAATTATATTTTAAATTGCTAGAAGTGTAATCATTTTATTTGTTTATTGAAGCAATTTAATCAATTATTTTTCTATTGAGTTTGAGTTTCTATTGAGTTTTCAATTGAGTATCATTATGTTACATCACGACTTATCATAAAATTTTTTTTTTTTCTTAACGAGATTCATTATAACTTGATTATGAAAAAATTTTCAATATTTATTTAATTCTATTTTATCAGGAAAATCTATTACTATAATTTTCTATTATTAAATTTTAATTTAGAAAAAAGGAAATATATAATATTTCCATATTTAAAAAATTTTTTTAATATTAGGAATATATAAAATCAATTGTCATAAACAGAATAGTTCAATATAAAATTAATAATATTTAAATAATATAATAATATAATATAATTTAATAATTATATTAATTTTATTATATTATATATAATTTATTATAAAATTAAAATAAGATATATAAATATTCCAGAAAATAATAAATTGAAGAATTAACCATTTATGGAAATAACATCTATTTCTTAATTGAAAATTTCTTAATTAAATTCTGTAAATTGGAATAACATTCAAAATAAATATTCAATAATAAATATAATAATAATCATGAACATGTAATAATATAAATACTTTATGATGCATATTAATAAATTAGATATTTTTATCAAAATTAAATAACAAATACTAAATAATTTATTTACTGAATTTATTAACTCATTTAATTGCAATTTACTATTCTTATGAAATATCTATATTTAAAAATATATGATTTATTAAATTTCAAAAAATAAATTTAAAATATTGTAGTAATTAAAAGTTCTCAGTCTGAATGGTTTTCCTTCTTCCTAATACTTCTGGTTCTATTTATAAATATTTATATTCGTAGAATATTTCATTTTTTCTTTGAAACATCTCGAAACAATCTATTTTTTTAGTTTCCTGATTTCGTAATTTGCGATGAAGGATCATAAACCCTGAAATAGAGGTTTGAACGTAAATCGTTTAAAAGACAAAGCCACCAGCAGAGACATTTAGTTCTAGGAAAGAGAACATCGATTCGAACTCGATATTTCGTAACTTAACTGTTCCCCTGTTGACTATCGCCTTTAGAATTTTCGTCACGTTCAACCTCGTGACATAACATGGCCGAACTTGGTAGCGAAAAAGGCTCGTTGATGAAATCCTCCGATTAAACTCTAAAATAAACGATAAATTCGAATATTTTTTTTTTTTTAAAAAACAATACAATGTAATTTTTAAAAAATCAATTGCATTTTCCAATTCTTTTCATTTTAAAGGAATTTTTTTAATATGATATAATTTTAAAAATCAATTTTATTTCAAATTCTTCCAATTTTAAAAAATTGAAAAAATAGTATGTTGTTTGGCATATTTAAAAAATGACACAATTTTAAAAAATGAAAGTTTGTGTCATAATAATTTTAAGAACACAAGTTCAGGTAGCTATGACCTATTAAATGATTTCTCGTGATCAATTGTAGGCCATTAATTTAATATTTTCATTGTGATATATGGATTTTCAATAGAATCTTAGTAATTTTGGATTTTAAATATTTTAATTGCTAGTTTGAATTCCGTTTAATTTTATTGTAAGAGAATTTTTTTCAGAGATTTCATATTAACGAATAATGACATGAAATTTTGGAATTCAATAAATTAACTATTATAAAGACAAGTAATAATTACAAATTTTCAATTATCAAATTAGAATTAACATAATGAAAAATTAAAAAAAACATAATGAAAATTATTTATGACAGTTTAAAAATGTTGTTATCAAATTTATTTATTAATTATATATTAATATTTAGATAATTTTAAAAAAAATTTGATCAATTTCACATTTCGACAATAGTTAAATAAATTTGTTAATTATCATAATTCTTCCTTTATGTCGAAATCAAATAAAATTTAAAAAATTGTTATTTTTTCATAATCATAACAAATTTCATATTTGATAATATTAATTACAAAATTATAAAAATATTTAAGTTAATAATTATAACAATAAAATAATCTTATATCTAATATAATATTTTTAATGTTTAAATAATAATGTTAAAATAATAGTGTCATTTTCCTAAAGAAATTGTATATTTAAAATATATAGTAATACTCGACTATAGAATTATTTTAACTAATTTTTAAAATTGAGAACTTCCAATTTTTGACAAGCTTTAAAAAGATATTAAAGATTTAAGATATCGTAAAACAAACACAAACGTATTTTTTATAAGTGGGAAAAAAGTTTTCTCTTTCTTACGAGTCAATGAAGCGAACAAAATCGAACAAAAAGAAAGAAGCCGCAAACAATTCTCAGAACACTTACCTCCCTGGATAATTGCCGCATTTTAGTCATGTTGTGTGACAGTTAACCAAGCGCTATTGTATATTATAAATACACAATTTCTTTAAAGGAAAATGGCCATTGTTATTTTAGAATAATTATTGTATTTAACTTTTTAAATGTTACTATTTATTATTAAAGATGCACTTGTCAATATTTTTCGTCGCTATTAATATATCGTATATATTATTATAATATATTAATAATATTAATATAAATATTATTATATTAAATTTTTATTTTTTATCACATTATATTACTGTATCATTTTTATTCTTATTATATTACATTACTCTCATCTACATTGAACAAAATAATATATATTAATTTTCATAATGCGTACATATATGTCATTTCTACTATACTAAGAATAATCATAATCATGACATATATACACCACATAATTTAAACTCTATACTATTACTATACTATACTATGCTATTACTATACTATTACTATAAAAATAAA